TGTTTTGGTTGAGAATTTCTCAAGAGCTGGTTCTGTAAGGCATTTAGCTCAAAACACTTGCATCTCACTCAGATATCTGCAAAATATAGTCATTGGGTTTTTGGACACGATTCCATCAGGAAAATGCAGGAAATCTGGTGGTGGCTTATCTCTTGAGCTGTTGTCATGTCACAATGTGGTCCTGTTCTATTACGTTTGCCTGTAAGGATATAGCATCTTCCTAACTTTGTGTTATGTGGCAGTACAACTGTGCTGAATTAGATAGGCTTCGAACACACCGAGCAACTCGACACTGGATATTCATGAGGTGCTGTCTGCCAGCATGGTTGTAAGCCAGAGGATCATCCATGAAGGAGGGCAGACCAAAAAATGAGTTTTCAACCAACTGAAGCTGCAATACAGGAGTACTTGCATGGCAAACAGCAAAGGAAGCACGTGATAAACAGTGCTAAGCAATTCTGCAATCAATTGATCAAATCTAAGGTCCGTAGTCATGCTATAAATAGTTACGAATGGTGGTGTACAGTAACAATAACAGAAGGGGAAGGCTCCATAACTATCCCAAATCTCAATGGTGGGGGAGCCCAGCACATCAGTACAAAAAGCATGAGTTGATAATCCATCTCTGCTTCCTATGGAGGTCCTCAACATCACACGTCAGCTTTCAGCCAATTCGGTTCACTCCATGTGATATCAAGAAACAGCTGAAGGCACTGGATACTTGGAAGGTGAAGGTGTCTGACAATATTCTGGCAATAGTACTGAAGATTGTACTCCAGAACTATCTGCGCCTCCAGCCAAGCAATTCCAGTGAAGTTACAACACTGGCATTTATTCAGCAATGTAGAATATTGTCTAGGCACTTCCTATGCAGAAAAAAAAGCAAGACAACTCCAACCCAGCCAATTACCATCCAACCAGTTGACTTTAAATCAACAGCAAAAGAAAGGGCTTGTGCACAGTGTCATCAAGTGATACTTATTCAACAATAACCTGCTCACTGAGTTCAATTTAGCTTCTGCCAGGCCCACATAGCTCCTTACCGTTTTAAAGACTTGCTTCAGACATGGGAATTAAAGGTGACTACCCTTGAAATCAGGGCAGTATTTGACTGAGTGTAGCATCAAGGAGCGCCAACAATACTAGTACCAATGGGAATTATGGGAAAACTCACTGGTGGTTGGAGTCATACCTGGCACAGAGTAAGATTGTTATAGTTGGTGGAAGTCAATCTTCTCAGTTCCAGGACCTTACTGCATGAGTAATGTAGGAGGGTAGTGTCCTAGGCCTAGCCATCTTCAGATGCTTCATCAATCACCTTCCCTCCATTATAAAGTCAGAAATGAGAATGTGCAATCATTGACGAACAATGTTCAGCACTATTCCTGAGGACTGCTCATGTTCTGAAGCTGTCCATGTCCAAGTGCAGCAGGACCTGGACAGTATTCAGGCTGGGGTCAATAAGTGTTAAGTAACATTTACCCGACACAAATGCTAGGCAAAGACCACCTTATACAAGAGAGAATCCAACTATCTCACTATTGACATTCAGTGGCATTGCTATCACTGAAATCCCCTCCATATCAACAAATTGACTGTTAAATTAACCAGAACCTGAACTAGATCAGCATTTTAGTGGCATGAACTTAGAAGATCAAAGATAGCATATCTACCACCTGAACATTCCCTTCAAAACCACACACCATCCTAACTTGGAACCGTGTTACCATTCTTTCATTGTCACTGAGTCACAATCCTGGAACTCCCTCCCTTAGAGAAGTGGGCCGTAATGGTTCAATTGGGCAGATCATTGACACGTTCTGAAGGTCAGTTTGGGATGGGCAGAAATGCTGGCCAGGCCAACTTGCAATTTTTTAAGCAACACTTCTAAATAATTAATAAAGATTTTGACAAGTCAACAAAATCTTTAATTCTGTAAATAAAGAGGGAAATTAAAGCATGCAAGATGTCTAATTCATATAAATAATGCTCACAGTCAAAAAAGCAGAATTTTTTTAATGACTCCAACAATGTCCCTCTGCCATATTTATTACCATTTATTAAGGTATGGAGCTCAGTGAGCCTAGCCTCACCCAAACATTTAAAGCAGACCTAATATACATATTCAGTATTCATGAGCTGCATTCATGTCTGTAGCCGGACCGATCAGCGTCAAAAATTGCACATCATAAAATGTGTTATCCAACTACTTAGATGAGAGAGATTGGGCACAGATATTCTGATTCACTCCCACGTGTATGGAACCTTGTATGAAATTTAGAGCAAAATCACCTTTATCTTGCTTGAACAATGCATTTTAACTTCACCCACTGTGAGCAGCATTTATTTACAATGCCTAATGCAGAGGCTATTTGCAGTAATGGCTTTGTAATATGAAGCCTATGACAAGAATAAATATTTTTGCCTCAGTTCCAATGGCCAGATTATTTTAGATGTATACAGTTGATTAAATGGGTTTGGCATAACCTCAGAGCACCATCACATAGTCACACCATATTCTGCATTTAAACATTCATCTGTGCAGTGTTGAAGAAAGGTTGAAGATGAAGCATGCAAAGTCCTGCACATATTAAACTTAATTTATCAATGCATTGTCTAAATCATGGAGTCAGATTCATTACTGACTACATGTGAAGAGTTGTTGCAATGTCATGATGGATACACTGTGGCATGTGTAAATAATTACTGTAATTGGAAGAAAGAGAATTTTCTTTCATATCTAGATCATAACAATTTTCTTGTAACTGCATCTCACACCACTAGAATAGCCCTTGAACCAAATTTCCTGAGTGGTTTGTCAAACGATTACCTACTGTGTTAAACACCATCGTATGTCTGCTTTCTTTTGCAAGTATACAGAATACATTCAGTATTTCAGTACTTAGAGCAAACTGGTTTGAGCTTGAGAAGGTCACAAAGCGTTACTTTAATTCAGAAGTAAGAAGGGAAAATCCAACAAACACTTGGCAGATCAGGCAGCAGCTGTGCAGAAAAACAAATGTCTGACCTCCTCAGTGTTTCCAGCATTTTGTGTTTTTACTTCAGATTTCTGGCACCCTACTGCTACAGAGTTTTGATTTTGATTTTACGTCAGAGCTGTCTTGGATTGAACTATTCCATCATTTCACTGTGCATTATGATACAACAGGATGCTACAAAAACTCAGGGAGGAATTCACATACTTGCTTAATTAGTACAAACTAATGCTGTACACTTTAGGATATCTGGTTGGCTGGACGATTTGGACCAAAGGGTCTGTTTCCCTGTGACTGATTCTATTGGAATGTGGCTTGAGACATTCTACTCTTGGTTGACTTAATCAAACAGAATACTCACATCCCAATGAGAAAATTATTTTGGTCTTTAATTGCTCCACCCAAGTTCATTGTAGGTGGTATTTCTTCTACTGTTCACACTTAAGTCTCCAATCATTCTGATTGTTGATGAGATGTGGAAATTTGTGTGATATTTGGAACAAGAATGTAATAAAGTGTGAAATGAGAAAAAAATGTTACACCATTGACTGAGTTACCTTTAAGCAATTCATGCGCTACCAAGTAAGCTAGATTTTGGATCTTACCGTTGTTAACTTTACAAAACTTTACAAGCTGTTAGCACTAATAGTAGACAAATGGCCATAGATATATCTTAAATAATCATTGTTTCACAACTCACAAGTAGTTCATTAAGTATTACAAAGGAAAAAAAATGTTAATTCACCTATGCAGATTAAAAAAATCACAGGCTGAAATCTGTGAAACATAGGTTAATGGAATAGAGTTTGAATGTCATGCTGGATTTCATGTTTATGATTAAGATACCACAAATTGAAGTTACATTGTGATGTATTTTTAATGAGATGGGAGCTGTTACAGTTCCAAAAAGGGGTCTGCATTTTGTGTTTTCACATGGTACTATCTGGGCTAGAACTTACTTTAGTAATGAGTAAAGGGAATGTGGTTTAGAAGTAAACGCTGTTGGCAGACCGTGATGCTGATGTGATGCTAGTGGTGTTTTTGTTGACCTTAATGCTCCAACTAGCACCTACCAAGCTGAACCTCTGTTCAGCAGCAAGAAGGACTCTATGCAAATACCTTCAATGACTCCCGGGTTAATTGTTGATTGATTTTTATTGACGCGTTAGTAGAAGTGTTTAAGGTTTGTACTGCTTTTAAAGTTGTCTACGCCCACGAGTAGTAGTACGGCACAGGTCTTGGTTCTGACTTCAAGAGTTCTTTCAGAAGTCATGTGTGGATTAGTTTCTGACTCCTTTGGCCTGCAATATGATAGGCATGGCTGGTGGACAAGACTGTGAGGGGTGAATGGCAAGAGTGCTTTCTGCAGGAGGTCATATTGGCCCAAAGACAGCAGGGAGCATTTTTCCAATCTCAACCTCAGCAATGACCAGTGTGTACACAGTGTCTCTGTTTTACTCAGGAGGTTCTCGCTGCCATTATCCTCCTCCTCCAGTAAATTAACATTTGCCTTATCCTGTTCCCTGCTGAGGATGTAGGCTATTCATGTCTAGTCTCTCACTCCGTGCAAATCTGCTTCTGAGCCTGCCTCTAAAGTCGGTTTAGTGTCAGTATCTGAGCTGATGACTGTGAGTGTGATATTTCTTCATTGTCAGTCTTCTTTTCCCATTCCTTGCTCCTGCAACATCAGGTGGCCAGATATGCTGACCTACCAGCATCACAGGAATAGGCATAGATTCATCTCACTTTGTAGACCATTTTCCGAGTCCGACGTCCCATTCTGAGGAAGGGTCACTGGACCCAAAACGTTAGCTCTGATTTTTCTTTACAGATGCTGCCAGACCTGCTAAACTTTCCAGCGATGTCTGTTTTTAAATTTGATACCTGAACCTTATAATGAGGAGACTATGAAACCATTTCAATCCAATTTCCAGGAATGTATTACAGGTAAGGAATGTGATTATATCCGGAAAATTAAGTTTGAATTTTGCTTTTGTTAACCAGGTGTTCTGAAGGCTTCTTTGGACGGCCTAACAAACCAGGTGGATTATGCCAACCCTGCCAATGCAATGGTAACCTTGATCTGTCTGTGCCTGGCAGCTGCAATTCTTTGACAGGAGAATGTTTACGTTGTATTGAGGGAATTTCTGGTCAGTTCTGTGATCAATGTGCTGAAGGTTTCTTTGGAGATGCTGTTGTAGCCCGGAATTGCCGGCGTAAGTATGTTTCATCCTTGATTTGGTATTTGATTCTTAAATGTGACAAGTTAAAATAACTGACGGTCCTTTGGGCAGGTGGTAATTGGAAATAGTTTTGAATGTATAATTTTGAGCTTAAAACAAAACATGGCTGCATAAAGTTAGAATAAAACAAGATCATCTCCACCTTCATGCTTTTAAGTGGTAAATCCTGCATGAACCAGAAGGGATACATGTGATGGATTTCTCATTTGTTAGACTGGAGGAGGCCCATTTATCCTACATCATTTTATGGCTTGTAGTGTAAACGTGTGGCTTGTGAGGTGGAAGAAGTGAGAGTGGCAGGGCAATTTTAAGGTAGCGGTAGATGGCTTCTTGGTAGGTAAGGGAATCAAAGGTTATTGGGGTTTGTCAGGAATGTGGAATTTGAAACATGCACAGATCAGCCAAGATCTTATTGAATGGCAGAGCAGGCTTGAAGGTCCAAATGGCCTACTTCTGCTCCCAATTTCTGAGTGTAATAGTTCTAGCAGCCGTTTAAATTGGACTGTATTTTAAATTTTAATTGTTTCAGTTAAAAGAACCAGTGGCAAAATAAAATCAGAGTGATGAGTAATGAAGCATCCAGAATTGGCCTTTAGTTGTCTATAACTTTACAATGTTTATGATTACAATTGGTAACATCGATTCGAAAAGTGCATGTCAGAATTACTGAAAGTGCACTTGCAGCAGGGAAGGTATTCAAACATGAGTAAATATTTGAAAGGCAACCCCATGGACTTTGACAGCAATGAGAAAGAGCAAGAATTAGTCATTAAATGGTGACTTCTATCAGCACAAAGTATTTCCATCCACAATGCAAATAACTTGTTGGCTCTGTTTTAAAAAGCCCAACCGTTACATTTTGAAACCACTTGCTTCTTTCAGTTCGCAAACCTCTTATTCCAATGGAAAAAGATCTAGGTAGATGTGTGGTAATTTTGATAAGTACTTATCTATTTTAAAATGCTTCCCTGATCCAGTCGCCATTTTATTTAGTGTAAAAGTAATAGATCACAATGATGATGCACCCTCTCAGGGCTGCTAAACACTTCCTTATTTACCTTTGTGTATAATACATTGATTTGAAGTCAAATCAGTATTGTGTAAGAAACTGAAATTTAACTTATTAACTGGGAACGGAATGCAAAGGCGCTTCAAAGAATAACTGACATGATATTTTTGTTTAAATGTTTTATGAATTGACAAAACTCGAGCCCAGTCCATGTCATTTTCATCCTGGACAGGTTTTTCAGATCCCTATCAACTGTGTTATGGGCTGCTGCACCTCATTCACTATCCTGAGCACGTGGTGCTGGAGCTCTGGTCTGTTTATTTGTCACTTTCAAATGGTAGTGCATTTACAACAATAATTCAACACAGCTAGGCCAATCTTTTTAAATCATCAGACCATCTGAGTTGACGATTGGTGCCATTTATAAGCTTGCACCTGGATGAGATAATTTGCTGCTGCCACCATGAGCAAAAAAAAATCAAAATAAAGGATGCCTCCGTGCTGGTATCTTTTGTGTTATTGTATGCTGATAAATCAGCATGATATAAAATGAACAGTGGGATCCACCTGTTCTTTCGCTATTATTTGCGTTACATTTTCAAAGCTATCTTTAAGCCAGAGCACATAACCAATCTGGTTTATCATTTATGCTCTTCCTTCTATTATTGAAGAATTCAAAGAGCTGTCAATTGCAAAAAGAAATCCACAAAAGAAACCAAACAACAGCAACAAAATTGCTAATTTTCTGTCCCTTTGCTGTGCTTTGACTATCTAGAACTCCATTGTATTCAAATCTCAGCAGGATTCACAGCTGTTTGAATGAAAATGTCTTTATTATATTTTTAATTACAGTAGGAATGTGAACATTAAAAGTGCTATGAAAATTGCCCCATTGTCTCCTTTTGATTATGTTATTCTGTCAACTATTGAAAACACGGGCTGGAAGAAATTTATGTTATTAAAATAGGGATGAAATAAGTCTGTGCGTACAGGAGTCGACTGTAACTTTGCTTACAACATGCCATACTTCCTTCTGATAAACCATTTAGAATTTTCAGATTCATTAGTAAATCCTTGATGGCACCAAAGCAAGCAATGACCCATGCATTTTTCATTATTGTAGCTTCTACTTATCCATAATAGTTTTGATTAAAAACTGTTGTCACAATTCAAGATACATTATTAAACAATAATGCATTTTGGATATGATTTATCGATTAGAAAGTAATTTGGAAAATCTTGAGGTCACAATAACATATTCACAAATGCAGATATTTCAATATTTTTAAATCTTACAACTAATTACCTAGATTATAGCATTTTTAGTATTAAAATTGGGCGGCTGACAAATACCCAACTATATGGTCACGTAAATACTAATAGAAATATCTTGCTATTTACTGTGAGAAAACTTGGAAAATATATAAGTCTTAATATCTTTCTAGATTAGGGACAGGGACTGTTCTAAAACTTGAAAGGTTTCAGAAAAGATTTACAAGGATGTTGCTGGAGTTGGAGGGTTTAAATTATAGGGAGGGGCTGAATAGCTGGGAGCTTTTCTTCCCTGGAGCATTGGAGACTGAGGGGTAACCCTTATAGAGGTTTATAAAATGATGAGCAGCATGGATGGGGTGAATAGCCAAGGTCTTTTTTCCCAGGGGAGGGGAGTCCAAAACTAGAGGGCATAGGTTTAAGGTAACAGGGAAAAGATTTAAAAGGGTCCTGAGGGGCAACATTTTCATGCAGGGATGGTTTGTGTATGGAATGAGCTGCCAGAGGAAGTGGTGGAGGCTAATACAATTACAACATTTAAAAGGCATCTGGATGGGTATATGAATAGGAAGGGTTTAGAGGGATATGGGCCAAATGCTAGCAATTGGGACTAAATCATTTTAGGATATCTGGTCGGCATGGACAATTTTGACTGAAGGGTCTGTTTCTGTTCTGTATAACCCAAGACTTAAGTGTGAGGAAATAATTTTTGTGTTTTGCATAGTTATTGAGACGTATGAATTTTTTTCAAAGCCTATCCACCAGCCTGTAAAATCTGTCTTCTCTTTTCAATTTAGCCAAACCCAGTCAATAATTATGATTGGATAGCTCTGCAAATTTAAAATTCATATCCTACAAGTAGTAAAAGCATTCAAGGTCGAACAGTATACAGTTGTATTTTGTAACTGAATGGAAACTAAGCAGTACTTTGACACATCGTTAGTTGTACCAAGACACTCATAACTCAGTTGTTAATATTCCAGACTTTAACAATTAAAGAAGACAAATTCTCAGTGACATATTTGCATTATAGGCCTGCTATCTAATGTCTTCAACAGATTCTGTGTCCAAACTGTAATATTAAATCGGAATATTAATGGACTAAATGATAAGTGCATTTTCAGAGGTGTTTTTGTTCCTCAATATCTATAAAGATGTTAAAGAGACTTAGAGATGTACAGCACAGAAAGAGACCCTTCAGTTGAACTCATCCGTGCTGATCAGATATCCTAAATTAATCTAGTCCCATTTGCTAATATTTGGCTAATATGCTTGTAAACCCTTCCTATTCATATACCCATCCAGATGCCTTTTAGATGTAGTAACTATACCAGCTTCCACCGCTTCATCTTGCAGATCATTCCATACATGCACCATCCTCTGCATGAAAATGTTACCCCTTAGGTCCCTTTTAAATCTTTCTCCTCTCACCTTACACCTATATCGTCTAGTTTTAGACTCATTCACCCTGAGGAAGAGACCTTGACTCGTCACCCTATCCATGCCCCTTGTGATTTTATAAACTTCTGTAAGATCACCCCTGAGCCTCCAACACTTCAGGGAAAATAGCCCCAGCCTATTTAGTCTATCCCTATAGCTCAAACCCTCCAAGCCTGGCAACATCCATGTAAATCTTTTCTGAACACTTTCAGGTTTCATAACATTTTTCCTATAGCAGGGAGACCAGTCATAATTGGCAAAAAGAACTGTTGTATTAGACACCATGGATTATCCTTTACCTCTAATTATAACAACCTGATTTCTTGATTGTGTAGCAGACACAAAAACTTGTTTTGGAATCAGTTCTGCCAGGCTTCCCAGGAACAAGAAGGTTTTTGGCAAAAAAAAAGACTGTGATCATGGCATTTTAACTATATCTGTCTTAAACAGTGGAGGTTCAATGCAGCCAAACTTTTAAAATCTGCATTTTCACAACTGAACTTACATTTCACTAATTGTGAAGCCCAGTTGAAACTATTTATGGGAGACCAGGCAACATGTTTAAAATTATGCTGATTCTTTCCTGCACACCTGGTCTTGCACTGAAGAAAGTACCTGCATTCTGCAAACTACTTGTTCAATTGGCATCTCCAGAAAACCCTGGTGTCCTGTCAAAAATAATTTTGCCTGTTGCTGTGCAGTTTTGCTGGCTAAATTTCAACTTTATAAAAATCACCTCCTTAAGATGATGCTCAATGGCTTTAAGTAGTAATTGCCCTATTGGATAACCTGCCCTCCCAATTGGTTTCACATCGAATAATTGACAAATGAAGGCAAATCAGACCTGGTCATAAAAACAACATGGATACCATTCTGATTCCTTCAAGCCCACTAGTGCTTGCTCTGCGCATGATCTGCCTGATATGTACTCCACACAAAATCACCCCAGTTGTCACAATTTCACCCAGTTTATTCACAGGTTTTACCATGCTGGTCTTATTCTTGCAAACAAAGAATGAATTTGCAAATGTTGTACGCGACTCCTCATGCACACGCTGTCAAAGGTTTTCTCACAGTTTTTCTTTTAGAGTTTGCAGATATCAGACAACTGAACTAATTATTGAGATTTATCTATGTCCAGAACCACTTCACATTGACACTAAGGTTATAACACAAGGTCATCATGTTTTTCATTGAAAAGTAATTTCTTTCTTGTTCTTTAGTACACCAGTTCAAGAGACCCTCTGCCAGAATACAAATTAGGAGCTTCTGTGTGATATCACTTGAACATCGATATGTTGATAGACGTATGAAATGTGATTTTATTTAACTTCAGCATAATGAGTTTAGCTTATTTTGTAATAATGACCATTTTCTTTTTTTTCAAGCCTGTGACTGTCATGTCAACGGGTCCATTGCTGAGCTCTGTGACAAGCAGACCGGACAGTGCCAGTGCAAACACAATGTTGCAGGAAGACAATGCGATCATTGTTTGGTAGGTATGGCTTCTAGAAATTCAAACACTTACGCAAAAATGTATTTGACATCTCTTATAACTACAATTCTGTCTACAGAGAGTAAATTAAAAGGTATGTTTTCCTCTGAGGATAGAATTAAAGTAACAGAATGAAAATCCACATCTGTCCGTGGTATGTTAGTAACAGATTTATTAGATTGACAAAAAACAATCTGTCAGAACTCAAATATGCCAGTAACAGCAGTGCATGAGGGTTTTCCATGTGTCTGGTAAGGAACAGATTTTACATTTCCAAAATCCATGATATTGAGAGGCTGGGAGTTTCTTCACTGTTCCAGCACTATCTGCATTGTAAATCGATGACTAATTCTTTGAAAGAAAAAAGACATCTTGACTTTGTGAATGGTGAAACTAGAACCCACATTTAAAGGATATCCTATGAGCAGGTCAGTTTATTTTCAAGTTTACAGTCTCACATCTGGTGGCCCCACAGACCACTTCTCATGACTTTCAGACCAGCTAGAACCTTCAATTCACTGGCAGTAGTGCCATTTAACTGTGCATACTGCAGCCAGGACACCACGGAGTGGTGGCAATGGGTGCTTGATTTAAGTACCGGAATCTTGTCCACTTGTGAACTCCTTATAGCATTATTGAAATTACTTTTCATGCAGTTTGAACACAATTCAAATGAATTGTTAAAATTGCCAGTAAATTAACAGAGCAAGCAACTTGACAAACACGTTATGCATTTATGTGATAACGTTACACAATGGAGTTTTGAAATATCTTTAACAGTTCAACATAGCAATAGTTACCTATTACTTGGCAAGTTCATATACATTTACACTTACCCTGCAGCACTTAAATTAAGTAGTACAGGAACCTTCTGATTGTATCAAATAATTGAGTTTAAATTAAATCAAGATCTAGAACCAAAAATTGTGACTTTACATTGGTACACACACACACACTCTTCTGTTGCATTTGTTACTGCCTATAATCCCATGTCCTGTTTTCCCTGCAGTAGACCATGCAGTCTGTTTTGGCTCTGCTGAGTGTGGAAATAGTATCAAGCCTCACTTAAGCATTGTAGTTTTAATTTGTGATTAATCAGAAATTAATCCATGTTAAAACTGCAATGATATTATGTAATGGTTAGAAAAGTATACTAACCTCTGGATAACTCTCAACCATGCTCCATTTTATACTCAACTATAGTACATCATACATTTAAATAGTTTCTCTAAGATCACATGTAAATCACAGAATCATATAATACAGAAGAAGGCCTTTGGCTCACAGAGTCTGAACTGACAAAAAAGCTCTAAATCTACACTAGTCCCACTTTCCAGCACTTGGCCCATAGTTTTGAATATTATGACACTTCAGGTGCTCATCCAAGTACTTTTTAAAGGCTGTGAGGCCATCTGCCTCTATTACCCTCTCAGGCAGTGCATTCCAGATTCCCATTCACTCTCTGTATGGGAAAAAAAAACTTTCCTTAAATCCCCTGTAAACCTCACCTTTCACCTTGAAAGTGTTCCTCCTTGTTATTGACCCTTCTGCTAAGGGAACAGTTGCTTTCTGTCCACTCTGCCCGTGTTCCTCATAATTTTATGTAGGTACCCCCCTTTAATCTTCTCAGCTCTCAAGAAGACAAAATCCAAGCTAATCCCACTTCTCTTCAAAGCTAAACCCAGGAATATCCTGGTGAATCTGCTCTGCACCTCGTCCAGTGCAATCACATCCTTCCTATAGTGTGTTGACCAGAAGTGTACACAGTACTGTAATTGTGACCTAACCAAAGTGTTATATAGCTCCAACATAATATTGCCAGGTAATAAGTGAATTCATATAAATATGTAAATCAATCAATGTCTTTGTTGCATTTTATATTTGAGTATCATTTTTGATTTAGATAAGTTGAATTTTGATGTTTTCTACATTCCTTCACTTTCATAACTTATAAATCAATAGTTTAAGTTTTCTTGAGGAAGCCTTAAGTTAGGAGTTACAAATTTGGAAAAAATAGTGCTGTGAATTAAATTATTTTTCAAAAGTGCAATGTGTTGATATTTTCCTGATAGCTGGTAATGAATTTAAGATTGAAACAACAAGTTCCTGATTAAAATTTGAAAATAACATTTGGAAAAAGTGTTTTTAAATAAATTGTGACAAAAGTTCAGCGACATAACACTCTGACTAAGGAAATTATGCTTGAAGAGAACTTATTCAATCTTAGAAAACAACATTGTAATCCCAATGGCTTACATTCTCCTTGAGCACTGCTCCCCATCTGATCATGGGATCGCCATTTTGTCCTTTAACACACATTGTATTAGTTAGAGGGCAATACTCGTCTACACGATTACATCTAAAAATCGGATTGTTCTAAATAGTAGAGTTCTTTTCTTCTCTTTTTGTCAGACCAAACATCACAAGTATCCAAAATGGCGTATATACCCACATACATATGTATACTGCCTATTTCAATGAGTTGCAGAATTACAGCTTTATAACAATTATTTGTCTCTTATTTTCCTACATTCGTAGAAAGTTCGATGATCTCAGTTTTTTTGGCAATAAAGTTGAAATGAGGAGTTCACCAGAGGAAGCATCACTATCTCACCCTCCATTCCACTTGCTGTATAAGGGCAAAAAAGTCTGCAAGTCTTAATACTGCGGAATGTCTTAAACACCACCTACTATGATGAAGTCATATAGGCTTGTTGAGAGAACTGGTTAAAATCTCAAAGTGTAAGATCTACAATCCAGACTCTTTAACAATGTCAATGCAATAAATTACATCTTGTTTAAGGCAAGAGCATCTCCTCCTTCGAGTAGCAAGAAGTTTTCCTCTACCATACTAACCAAACAAACCCTGTAGGTCCTTACCCTAGTGGGAGGGTGACAGCAAATCCACCTCCACCTTTTCAGAGCAGCATTCCCAGGAGACTGGAAGATTGTTTGTTGCAGTACATTTCCAACATTACAACAGTGGCAATCCTTCATTGGCTGTAAAGTGAATTGAGATGTCTTGAGGTTGTGAACAGCGCTGTAGAAATGGAAGCTCTTTCTTTAATCTGTGGGACTAAAACAAATGAAAAAAAATTTGAAAGAAATCAATCAATACTGAGGTTTTACTTCAATACTGTAATTTTTGAATAACTTGAAATATGTTCAAAGTTCCATTTAATTCTGTTTCTTTTATTATAAGAGCTTAACATGTCTTTGCTCATCTCATAGTAGTTTGGGAGAGTATTGAAAGTTTACGTAGAAATTGCTGGAAAAACTCAGCAAGTCTGGCAGCATCTGTGGAGAGAAAGCAGATTTAATGTTTTGGGTCCAGTGACCCTTCTTCAGAGCTTTAATGGAAACATTAACTTTGCTTTCTCTCCACAGATGCTGGCAGACCTGCTGTGTTTTCCCAGCAATTTCTGTTTTTGTTTCTGACTTGCAACATCCACAGATCTTTGTTTCTTTTTGAAAATTATTCATACTTGTTTGGTCATGTGCTTATGCTTTCATCTTGTGTTTTCTTTTATGTATTGTTCTGCATACTTTAAAGCCCAACTGCTGGTGGGATCATGAAAAGAAGGTTTGCATGCCATGCCTGTGCAGTCCCATCGGTTCCATGTCACTCCGGTGTGACCAAACAGGGACATGTATCTGTAAACCAGGTTTCTTGGGGAAGCACTGCACTCTCAGCAGGCAGCTCCATGAACAGCAATACGATGAGGGTTCAGAGATGGCGAAATCAGTTCAAAACCAACGTCGACGATGGTGGGCAACAGGCATTGGTGGCTGTCCACGGGGTGCATACAAGCCTGCTACAGCCTCTGCCAGAGGGGTAAAAGTGCATGATGCCTGTGTGCTGTGTCTGCCTTCATACTTGTAGTGTGGATTAAGAAAAGCAATTGCATTTCCCTTTTGAGAGACGTGTAATATTTTTGAAATACTGATGCAATTGCACATTTTTATGGAGCAATACAACATTAAAGATTTTAAATCTACATTTAAATCCAAATCAAATAGATATTGTGAATGTTTTCTGTCCTTTGCTGGCGATAGTGTACCGTATTAAACAAACTGGGACAGGCCGAGCCTAATTTCTATCAGGCATGGCGCCAAGCATAAAACAGTCCAGAATTTGGCAGAAAGTTGCAGTACTTACAGTACCTGGTAGTCTGCTTTATAAATAGAAAATGCTGCTATTATGCTGGAGGACATTTTTTGAGTTCCATGCAGTTCCATGATTAAGAGGTTGAGGCTTATTCTGCAAGTTCATACCTGTGCAAAACCTGATCAGCATGTGTTTGATGCTGACTCTGAGTACAATAGTTAAACCGTTCCTTACACTCTTGTGAATGCAACAGATCACATAAAGTAGACATTTAGCGAAAATTTTACATAGTTTTCCTTCAAAATAAATTGCGTTGCAGTTTCCGCTGTGTCAGTAAATTTAAAATCAATGTTTAATATGAAATGATGGATGGAAATTGCCTCACGAAATTGTGTTCCATTATTTCAATAAATTTTCAGTAATTTCCTGTTTATTGTTAGCAATATTTCAGAATAAGCATCTGAATAAAAAGAAAGCTCTTATAAATGGTCACAGAAATGATTTTTGATAGTACCATTACCAATCATCAGACACTGAAAGCTCAAGTGGAAAATAGTGGTATTAAATTAAGACAATAGTTTTCAACATCAGAATAAAGAACAAATGCAGTCATTAGTAAAATGAATCATTCTCAAGAGAAGTAGAAGAAATTCCAATTAAAATTGTGTTCAAAAAAAGAACACAGTGCTGCTACCTGTGAGAATACATTCAAAACTTTTGGAGTGGAAACAGCCAGGATGTAATGTTTGAAACATGATTGCACAGGGCTTTGTTGAGCAGAGATTGGACCATTCCTTCCTCAGGGTCACATTCTTCTGCAACAGAATTGATTTTCCGAGCCCCCTGCTGGATATAAGCAGGGTAACAACAACCTGAAAAAAAAAGTCTGTTCACTAGTCACCACGTTTATTAATATATTTGAATTGCCACCATCTTGGGTAGGATCCTTAAAGGGACCAGTGGAGACCCTTAAGAAAATGGCTCTGGGATGTTTTTCTTTAAAATTCCTGTTGGGGTCAGAAAGAGCTGAACAAGCAACCATTTCTAGGGATAGTAGGAACTGCCGATGCTGGAGAATCTGAGATAATAAGCTGTAGAGTTGGATGAACACAGCAGGCCAAGCAGCATCAGAGGAGCAGGAAGGCTGACATTTCAGGTCTAGACCCTTCTTCAGAATTCAGAAAAATTTCTGAGGAAGGGTCTAGACCCGAAACGTCAGCTTTCCTGCTCCTCTGATGCTGGTTGGCCTGCTGTGTTCATCCAGCTCTACACCTTGTTATCAACCATTTTGAGGATCACCTCATGCTCTTCAGTGCTGACCAGACATTCAGCTGGAAAAGCTCAGCAAGCCTGGCAGCATCTGTGGAGAGAAAATCAGAGTTAACGTTTCGGGTCAAGTGACCTTTCCTCAGAACTTCTGAGGAAGGGTCACTGGACCCGAAACTTAACTCTTCTTTTCACAGATGCTGCAAGATCTGCTGAGCTTTTCCAACAACTTCTGTTTTTGTTCCTGATTTGCAGCATCCGCAGTTCTTCCAGTTTGAGTCTTGGAACCTGGCTTATATCTTACCTGGCCATCACTAACAAATTAACAAACAGGTTACCCAGCTTCCATTAGAGCTCACAGGCAAATGGCATCCAGGCCTCAAAATGCCTCAGTGTTACGGCCAAGAAGGTGGTGGATGTGTTAAGCTTAACCTAGTCTGTGTCTTAAAATAGAATTATGCTTAACAGTGACAATACTAGCTAAGACTTGAGCTATCTAATTTTCTTCACAATGGTTATAGGGAAACACATGAATTGAGAAGTGCTTCATTGACCACAATCTATTTTACAAGTATTCTTTCTGAGCATCACCAGAAGAAATAATGAGCTAAGCTCCAGATTATATACATATTTTACAATCAAACTTCTGTTGACATGAAAACATTTGTCACAGAAATGATTCTAATGATGAAAAATTTTATAACCAATATGAGAGAATCTATCTTTGAACTTCAATGGCATTATGATTGCCAAATCTTCAACTACAGAAAAGCCTGCAGGATTACTATTCACCAAAAGTTGTAGTGGACCAGCCATATAAATATAGTAGTTGCAAGAGCAGATCAGAAACTGAGATTCTATAGGGAATTATTCACCTCCTGTCTCCTCAATGTGCACCTACAAAGCATAGATCAGGACTAGAATGGAATGCTGTCTACTTGCCTGGATGGGTGCAACTCCAATAATGCTCAAGAAGCTTGGCACCATGTGGGACAAAGCAACTCAATTGATTGGTACCATATCCACTAATGGCAAGATTGATTGCCTCCACCACTGGCGCACCATCTACAAGATGTACTGCAGTAACTCACCAAGGCTTCATTGGAAACACCTTCCAAACCCATAACATTTACTAACCTGGAATTATCCATTATTAAGGATAATGACATTCTGCAAGTTTCCCTCCAAGTCACAAACCATTCTGAAATATATCACCATACCTTCAGGATAATGGTCCAAATCCTGGAGTTCCCTTCTTCACAGCACAGTGGGTGCTCCGACACCCAAGACTGTATGAGTTCAAGAAGGCAGCTCAATGCCACTTTCTCCAGGGCAGTTAAAATGGACAGTTAGTGTTGGATTCCTGTGATGTTCACATCCCATTGAGAAACAAAAAAATTCTGTTGTTCAGAGCCCATTATTCTTTTTGCATTTTGCTCCATTACGATTGGTAGCCAAGGATCTGATGCAGAATTCCATGCTTTTAAAGATAAAAGAATCATTTAAGATATTACTTCCTCAGTAAAAGTGATGTTTTGAGCTATATGGAATTTTTTCCAATCCCATGTCATGTGTTACTCCATAAAAAGGTGCAGAAGCAGTAAATGTAATTTCATTTGCATAATTTCTGCAATTTTTCTTTTGCTTGGAATCACTACTGATGAGAATTTGAATATTTCAAGTTTTTGCTGATTGCGTGCTTGAAAATTAGTGGTTTTGCATGGTGTGAATTGAGTTAGTCTGCAGTACTCTTGGTTGAATCCTGATACAGAGATGAAAAGTACTAGACTGAAATGCCAATCAAATTACAATGTTTTATTTATTAATTGATCCATTAGGTTAAAATTGAGAAGACTTCCCAGATACTAATAGGGATAATTCAACTATGATGCGAACATATGTGTAGTACAATGCATATTCCAAAATTTACTTCACTTTCCCCTAAAGTGTACAAATATAACATCTCATTTTAATGTATCAAATGTACCACATTTATTTCCAGACTATGACATTGCAAGTACATTCATTCCATTAATTTCTAAACTTAATCATCCTTTGGGCTAATGGTAAGATTCTTGGTAGTGTGGATGAGCAGAGAGATCTCAGTGTCCATGTGCATAGATCACTGAAAGTTGCCACCCAGGTTGATAACGTTGTTAAGAAGGCATACGATATGTTAGGTTTTATTGGTAGAGGGATTGAGTTTCGGAACCATGAGGTCATGTTGCAGCTGTACAAAACTCTGGTGCGGCCGCACTTGGAGTATTGCGTGCAGTTCTGGTCACCGCATTATAGGAAGGATGTGGAAGCATTGGAAAGGGTGCAGAGGAGATTTACCAGATGTTGCCTGGTATGGAGGGAAGGTCTTATGAGGAAAGGCTGAGGGACTTGAGGCTGTTTTCGTTAGAGAGAAGAAGGTTAAGAGTTGACTTAATAGAGACATACAAGATGATCAGAGGATTAGATAGGGTGGACAGCGAGAGCCTTTTTCCTCGGATGGTGATGGCTAGCATGATGGGACATAGCTTTAAATTGAGGGGTGATAGATATAGGACAGATGTCAGAGGTAGGTTCTTTACTCAGAGAGTAGTAAGGGCGTGGAATGCCCTGCCTGCAAAAGTAGAAGACTCGCCAACTTTAAGGGCATTTAAATGGTCATTGGATAAACATATGGATGATAATGGAATAGTGTAGGTTAGATGGGCTTCAGATTGGTTTCACAGGTCGGCGCAACATCGAGGGCCAAAGGGCCTGTACTGCGCTGTAATGTGCTACGTTCTATGTTCTATTTGCCCTGATTCTATTTAATCTCACCATTAAATGCTTTGTGTAAAGTATAAACCCAACATTTCTTTTGGACAATGATTACTCAATTTGATGATCGGTAAAGTAACAGAACTCAAAGGTTGCATTCAAGAACTCAAAGGGGACACCTTCAAGGTGGTAAGAGAAGGTAGTGGGGCAATGTAAAATCAAGTATCATGGCAGCAGTCTTATACCTATCACCACTCCCACCCCACCCCACCAGCAGGTGTTTTACCTGCGAATGGAGGTGGACCCAACAACTTCTTTGTGAGCTGCTTCAGACTTGTCCAATGTCCAGTTGAAGGTCTATTCCTATGGAACTGCACCTCCACCAAGTGCTCCCCTATGCAAAGCTCTCCATTACCTGGACCTCACACCCTTCAATACCTCTTTCAGTTTGGCCCTGGAAAAGACCCGAGGTTAACGTCTCATCCAACTCCATTGATGGAGCCATTCTGATTGGCTTCCTCTAGACTGAGCTGGAAGTATTGCACTGAACCAGTTAATGGCCCATTGTCTCCTTAATTGCTGCAGGATAACCCGCCCAAGTGGAGGCGTGCTCCCCCAGTTTTCCAGCTGGATTCTAGGCCACTACATCTGTGTACATTTCTAGGTGAAGAATCAAACCTAATAATTTGTTTGATGTATTCTTTTGCAATCAGTGGGTGTTGCTGGCTAGGGCAGCATTTTGAGCCCATACATAGTTTACCTCAGGAAAGGGAAATATGTTAAGTATGTCCTCAGAGCGTCTGTGAAGAGGTCAGACATTCCTGCTAACCCATCGACATTCCTGACTTCTGACTGACCAAAGTGGAGGAAGTTCATTTGAGAATTAGAGCCTAACCTACAGACAGACTTTGTCAGGAGCACATGGAGGCAATGTCGAAACATCAGGGAGGGTGCACAAAACCCCACCAACTCATCTACTTGACCCTCCAAACACCATCCACTGGACATTAAGCAGAATCTGTGGATTGTGCGTTCAATTTGTTGGCTTTCTCAGAACCCAGAAAACTACAGCAGAAGGAATTCACCTCAATCCCTAAGGACCGAGAAGACATCATGTTTTTGAAACTAGAACAAAATATATTAGAATTCATTGCAGCAGCATTGTAAGTACATTTTTGTTAAACTGCATACAGCTTAGTGCTCAGCAGAGTAATGCACTATAACCTCACTTCTTTATCACATTTCTCTTCATTTGACAATGCTCATCCTTTTGTGCTGCTGTTGTGTTTTGACTATTTTATTCTAGCAGCTATTGTTAACAGTAATGTTTGGATGATCTTATGGAGCATTGCTTCCAATGTTTAGAAAATTGTCCAAGACTTGGGGGCAGAGCTTATTCATTTTCCCTTGTAGTGTTTATGGTGTGGGGTTCATGGTGCCCAGCCCACCATGACTGGAAGTGACTCTTCTCATGTAGTCTTCCATTCTTTGCTTTATTACCACAAGCAGCTGGGTTGTTGGGTGCCTTTCTTGACTAGTTGTGTGGCTGGAGGGGCAATGTACATGATAACTGCTGCGATCTTCTGGCTATCCCATCTCTGGCATCCTATTTAAAGCACAGTTACACATCACTTCAAGCTCTACAAGCCAGGACTGGTCCTCACTCTGTCATCTCAGAGCCTCCACATTCATGGCAACTCAGAGAAAGGGAAAGCTCACTCCCTACTTTGCAGAGGTTGTGGGAGATGGGATGATGGAGAGGACAGCAATCTTTTTTCTTACATAGAGCCCCAGAAGGCCGTGACACCAGACCAACCCAGCCTGGATCCAAATTGCAGCTTAGGTCAGTGCTGTGTCCTGGGTTCAGTTCAGGAGGATGGTCAGTGATATTCTGCACTCCACAAAGAGAGGTGATGCCTCTTCTCTTTACTACATTTTGCTCACAACTCTGCCATTCCACACACCCAAGAGCAAGGCTCATGGATTGCAACTCTCAACATGAATCATGTTCGCTCAATGCCTGTCATCACTTCACCTTGCAAAACTCCAAAGTCTTCCTGCTGCTGCACTTCCTACTCACTCAATAGGGACAGTGCATCACCCCTCCTGCTCATGTATTACCACTAGCTATTCTTCCATCCACTTCCATTATACTTAGTTCCTCCCTTTGTCTCATTGTAATGAGAAATTGATCCATCCCCTGGACTTGTGTCTCCACAGCACCTTGACCTACCTGTAATGGCCAGACTGATTCCACATGACCTCCAGAGCTGACTGTGGCCCCATCTTCCAATTACGATGACATGGATCCTCAGACTCTAATAAGACCGAGTGCCTGACTGACCCCAGCCAACCACATGGACTGGAATTAGACAAGTCCTTTGACTAACTGTGACATTACCCCCTGACCTAATGGTGGTCTTCCTTCACTCCCCTAAGCCTGCTCTCCTTTGACTTTCACACATGGCAATTTCTTAAAGCACATGTAGGATTTGCCACATAAACTGCTGGCACGTGCTGAAGGTTTGACATTGACCTAGCCCAGTGCCACATAGAATCACGCCCATCTCCTTGCCAGTTCAGTGCTGCCCACTGCTAAAAGCTGTCGGCCTCTTATTGTGCTAAAAGCCAGTGTGACCAATAAGTAGCCCATTAGTGAGTGGAGTCAGTGAGTGTGCGCTAAATATTCAGTAAGAACTGCATAGAAGTTGACAGCCTCTCAGGCATGGATGTCCCTGAGCTGCAGAAAGAAGTGTGGAAGGCCTGACGTAGTCAATGAGTTGGTCTAAGGGATGGCATGATGATCTGGTGAAGCTAGTCGCTTGCCCATATCGACATGGGTGGATGAAGGGTTGAGGAGAACAGTGATCATGGCACATATAGTGACAATGTTGTGAAACAGTAGTTGGATGATGGCCGGGGCACACCATCAGCAAGCTGCAGTTGCTAAGTACCTGCTCTGATTCCCATGATGAGAATTTGCGTCATCTAATACATTGGTAAAGCAGTGAAAAATTGAAGGTGGTGTATAAATAAGGTGAGTTGGAGCTTACATGAGATCCAATTGCCGCTTGAAGTTCTGAGGCTTGAGGGGCAAATCAGAAAAAGATTTCTTCATATCGAGATTCTGATATTTGGTCTCCAGGAAGGAATTTCATCCTTGATCTTCTTCATCTGTAATTGAATCAAAGAGTCATAAAAAGTTTCTGACTCCTCTGGCTTAGCTCCCAGACCTACAGCTACCATCAACATTGTCCACCCCTACCCCACTCGTACCTGAATTAAATATACTGCTCCATATGTATTATAATGATATATGTATGCATATACATGTGTATATATATCTTCTGATGATAAACCATGTTTTGATCCTCTGTGACATGAAAATTTGAATGAAGCATTATGACTGAAAACATGCAAGGATTGTATGGGAACAAAAAATATTGGAGTGAAAGTGAAGTTTCAAGTCAATAGGATCGTGAAGAAGGCATTTGGTATGCTTGCCTTTATTGGACAGTACATTGACTATAGGAGTTAGGAGGTCATGTTGCGGCAGGACACTGATTAGGCCACTTTTGGAATACTGCATGTAATTCTGGTCTCCCTGCTGTAAGAAGGATGTTGTGAAACTTGAAAGGGTTCGGAAAAGATTTACAAGAACGTTGCCAGGATTGGAGGGTTTGAGCTATAGAAAGAGGCTAAACAGGCTGGGGCTGTTTTCTCTGGCGCATTGGAGACCGAGGGATGACCTTATGTTGGTTTATAAAATCATGAAGGGCATGGATTGGGTAAATAGACAAGGTCTTTTCCCCGGGTGGGGAAATCCAAAACTAGAGGCCATAGGTTTAAGGTGAGAGGGGAATGATCTAAAAGGAACCAAAGGGGCAACTTTTTCACGCAGAGGGTGATGATTGTATGGAATGAGCTGCCAGAAGAAGTTGTGGAGGCTGGTACAATTACAGCATTTAAAGGGCATCTGTATGGGTACATGACTAGGAAGGGTTTAGAGGGATATAGGCCAAATGCTGGCAAAGTGGAGTAGATTAATTTGGGATATCTGGTCGCCATGGACAAGTTGAACTGAAGGGTCTGTTTCCGTGCTGTTTCTGTGACTCTATGACTCCATGACTCTATGACTGCAACCTTTTATCAAGTTTAACCAACAATAAATATGAACAATATTTGAACTTTTAATAATCTCACCCAGTGATTACTTAATAGTATTTGGAGTCTGTAAATGAATAAAGCAGAATAATTCAATTGTTCCCTTTCAACTGTTCCTTTTTGTCAGTAAAAAGCATATCATTCCCACTGCCTTGTAAAAACATCGTATTTTGTAACATGTTATTGTAAGCTGTGGCTCAGTTGGTAGCACCAAGGTTCTGGGTCTAAGTCCCACTCTGAAGCTTGTGTTTAAAAATGAAGGATGACATTCTAGTGTTATACTGAGGCAGGATGACATTATTTGAAGGCACTATTTTTCAGATGCATTGTGCATTTAAGGCCCCTTCTATGTGCTCATGTGGCTGAATAAGATCTTGTGGTATTATTTGAGGAAACAGGAGGAGGGTAGTTAACTTGGTGTTCTGATCATTATGTATGCCTCAATCAGCCACACACACACTAGGATTATCTGGTCAGTATCACCCTCCTGTTTGTGGGAATTTGTTGAACACAAACTGGCTGCCATGTTTCCCAAATTGCAATAGTGACAATACAGCACTTCAAGACATCCAGTCATCATGAAAAGCATTATTTTAATACTTTTTTTTTATGTCATGCACTATTGTGTCAAATTTTAATATAATAAAGCAAACAGAAGAAGTAGATATTTGCAAAGCAAGGAAAAATCCCTAAGCAATTGAAAATACACAGGAACCAGAAATTTATAACTTCTGATGCAATCATACTTTAAGAATTGGTAAAGAATGTTTGACTTGAATAGCAATGAAACTTTGATCTAATTTAATATTTAGTTGAATTTAATTAAATTTGATTGCATTTAGCATAGTCATCATCTTCAGAAGCAGAATAATACTTTGCTCCATGAATGAAGCAATGCTGTTAATCTTATAAAATTGTGTCTTCTTTGATTCACCATGAGAAATGACTTGGGACAATAACTTATATTTGTATTTAAACATGTTGGTTATATTGGTTATTACACTCATCTCAAGCCTCATTCAATCATATTGGCTGAATTAAAATTAAAAGTATTTTGTGTTTATCATGATGGCATTAAAATAAATATGTTAATGCTTTTGTTACAGCAATGGGCCAACAAGTGATAAACACATTCGTTCACTAATGTCTGCAATTGTTTTGTGTGCTATGATTTCTTTTGTGGTATAAACAAATGTATAATTCTGAAAATATAGACTTACTGATTTATTGTATTTTGAATTCAAAGATTTGTGACTTAATTGTGATTTATTCCATTAGTGGGAAGTCTGTGCCTGTAATGAACCACATATATTGTTGTATCTTTTGGCTCAATTTATGTTAGATCCTTGACAACAATTTACTTACATTTTTTAGAGTGAAACTTATTACCTGCATTCTTCAAGGGGCTGTATACCCTGTAATTGCAATTCATTTGGATCAAAATCATTCGACTGTGATGATAAAGGCCAGTGCAGATGTCAGCCTGGAGTGGCAGAGCAGAAATGTGATCGATGTGCTCTTGGCTTTTATCACTTTCAAGAAGGAGGATGTGTTTGTATGTAAATTAATTTAACTTTTTTTAAGAGATGCATTATAGTAGATTTGATGTGACACACTTTACTCACGGCAATGTTTATGCTGCACACAAAACAAAACTTTTCACTGTGCTTGGGTGCATGTGACAATAATAAATCAAATCAAAAGTTATGAGATGAAGTGCGATTTAAATAAACCAAAAAGCTTCACAAGTGCTCACATTGTGTTTACCAATTCACTACTGGAGTTACTTATTGAAGCAGAGACCATGTCAATATGTTGGACAGGTAAAACCGAATAATGGACAGACAAGTGGGATTAAGACTCATGGAGGATAAGCACCATCAAGAATTGTTGATTGGAATGGTTGTTTCAGTGTCAGTTTTTGGGATTGTACATATCAGCAGTCTAATGACTTGGATGGATGTGGTTTCTGGAGATGAATCAGTGTTCTGAATTTTATGTTCCGTGACAGGTTTGAAACTTGGTCGGGGGTGGGGGGGGAACATAAAATCCAAGGCATGGCCTTCCCATTATCTACCCCCAATCTATCTGAAGTTTTGTGAGCAGCAGGAATGGTGTTAGGCAGCATATCTCCCCTGGGGCCTATTGAGATCCTTAGATAGCCAAGTCATGGTCGGAAATGAATCAGTGTTCCTCCAGAGTCCTGTTATGTCAGCACTTCCCAACATCCAATCCAGGTTTATAAAAGACAGTTGGTTAAGAATCGAATGAGGAATTAAATTGAAGGGGTACTGGGAAAGGACAGAGTTTGGGGCTAGCTCTGTAGCTCTTGAAGAGAGTTAATGCAGACACACTGGGTTGAATGACTTCTTTCTGTTTAAATAAATTAAATAATCATTTAACAATTTTGCCAAATGTGTGACAGGAGATCAGGATAATTTTGACAAATATTCTAGGTGTATGACACTGTGATGTCATAACTGGTTCCAATCTAAATATTAAGGGAAGAATTGTGGAATCAACTTGCACTGAGTAAACATTGCTTAACTATTTTACTCAAAGGTAATAGTGAATATATTTCAGAACTAAATTAATTAATAAGAGGAACATGATATAGTTCATTCTGAAATTATGTTACTTTGCCTAACGTGTACAAATGGTTTCCTTCCTTATTTCCATTCATTAAAATTGCCTATCAAGCAAAGTAGTAAGTGAAGACAATGCACAGACCAGGGAGAGGTTAGCAGTAAAGAGCAATTGCCTTGAAATTAGGCAGCAGGATAATAGACCATAAATACTTACACGCCTTTTCAAATTCATGATCCTACTATTTTAGCAAAAGCATTAACTCCTCTATTTTAAGTGAGTTAATGCTGTTTTCTAGGAGAGGAATGTTAGATGATGTCTTGAGCATTTGAACTCACTTAACCCACCATATAATTTCAACATCAGTAATTTTATGGCATTACGGATACTGAGAAGAGCAGGCATGTAATATTGAGGTGCAAAATTACACTGTTATGCTTTATAGAAAATTTAGGGTAATTGAAAAAGCTTCTGTATTGAAAGGTTTTAGATTACGTTGTAAGGCATAACAGCATAATATGGTTTATAACTGACATGTCAACCCCAAGATTAGATTATTGCTTCAATGTTGATTCTCTGTATCTGCAAACTGTTTCAATGTTGTGATGCAGGATTTATTCTGCCTTTGGTTTGCTGTTGTTCAGTCAGTAACTATTGTTCCAGATGCAAACTGAGTATGAGCTTCAAATTTTTGATATGATAACATCATTACTACAAGGGTATAGTGAAAAAAACTCCATGAATTATGACTAATGAATTCTGAATCCATAATTTGAATTCCTTCTCAATTGTAATCAATCATTGCCACAAAAATTTGAAATCTTAGAATCTTTGTTCATAGATGTTGTGCAAATAGTTTTTAAAATGCTTGACAGCTAAGTTGTCAAAGAGAGCAGGAATGCTAACTCATTTCTTTAATTTCTCTATAAAGCATGTGAATGTGCCCATGTCGGCAACCATTGTGATTCAGAAACCGGACAGTGTATCTGCCCTCCAAATACAGTGGGAGAAAAATGCGACAAATGTGCTGCAAACTTCTGGGGTCATAACTTTGTCAGTGGATGTAAAGTAAGTTTTTCAGTAAATGCATTTTTGACTGTCAGAAAGTTATTAATGTATGCATCCCTTTACTTGGTTTACTTACTTGACACAGATTGTAAAAAAGAAGTTCGTAAGCAGAAAAATCAGAAGCTTTTAATTTTAAACTATTGAAGTTCTTTTCCCTTGCGTGTCACATGCCATTCCCAGTTGACAGGATCGGCAAAAGGTTTTCTCCCAGGCTTCAGTTAGTTTAACTGATAGTTTGCTGTTATCAATACATTGAATTCCTAGATGAATCTCTTGTCCTCATCAGTCTAGTTTCTGCAGGATGTTTGCCTACATTGCTAACATGTAAGTGGTAGTCGCAGTGTGGAGGATTGTAGACATGAATCTGTGTGCAATTATTCCATCGCCAAGATCGTTTTAGTTTTGAAAGTAAACTGCTATCTGGTGAGTTAGTTTTGTCTGTTAGGAACTTTGAACATGAGAACAAAGGAACAGGAGTAGGCCAGTCAGCCTGAGCCTGGCCAACATTCAATATCATCAATGCTGATTGAACAGTGTTTCCCATAACCCTGTAAACCATTGTTAATCAAAAATCTTATCAATCCCCAAACATATGTAAAGATTGAGCTTCTAACAGCCCTCAAATTGCTTGCTGCACTTTCATGCGAGCTTTCAGTGTCTTATGAACAAGGACACCAGGTTCTTTTGGACATTACCATTTTCCAACCTCTCACCATTTGACAACTACTTTGCACCTTCTAGCTATGTCTTTCAACATTCCAGATGAAGGTCTTTGGGTCCCAGGGATTTGTCAACTTTCAGTCCCATTGATTTAATGTAGCATCAGTGCTTGGACCCCCGCTATTCACAATATATGTTAATGAGGAGGGAATTATAGAGGGAAGAGATGGCTTAGTGGTATTATCGCTGGACTGTTAATCCAGAGACCCAGATAATATTCTGGAGACCTGGGTTTGAATCCCACCACGGCAGATGGTGGAATTTGGATTCAATAAATTCTAATGGCGACTACAAAACAATTGTTGGGAGAAAACCCATCTGATTCACTCATGTCCCTTAGGAAAGGAAACTCCAGACTCTAAACCTATTCTTAACTGCCCTCTGGGCAATTAGGGTTAGGCAATAAAATGCTGACCTAACCAGTGATACCCTCATTCTGTGAATGAATTTAAAAAAAAAGCTAAATGTAATATCTCCAAGTTTGCAGATGACACAAAGCTGGGTGGGAGTCGAGCTGTGAGGAGGATGGAGAGATGCTTCATTTGGATTTGGACAAGTTGAGTTCGTGGACAGACGCATGGCAAATGAAGCGTAATGTGGATATATGCAAGTTTATCTACTTTGGTAGCAAAACTAGGAAAGCAGAATATTATCTGAAGGTGATAGATTCAGAAAGGGTGAGGTGCAACCAAGCCTGGATGTCTTTGTACTCCAGTCGCTGAACATATGCATGCTGGTGCAGCAGGCAGTGAAGAAGGTAAAAGGTATGATAGTCTTCGTTGTGAGAAGATTGCAGTACTGGAGAAAGGATGTCTTGCTGCAATTATACAGGACTTTGGTAAGAGCACATCTGGCATTTTGTGTGCAGTTTTGGTCTCCTTATCTGAGGAAGGATGTTCTGGCTATGGAGGGAATGTGACAAAGATTTACCAGACTGACTCCTGGGGGTCTCCCTGCTATAGGAAAGATGTCGTTAAACTTGAAAGAGTTCAGAAAAGGTTTACAAGGACGTTGCCAGGCTTGGAGGGACCAGTAGGGAGAGGCTGAATAGGCTGGGGCTATTTCCCCTGGAGCACCCTTCACCTGCTGAAGGGTGACCTTATTGAAGTTCATAAAATAATGAAGGGCATGAATAGAATGAATAGTCAAGATCTTTTTTTCCCAGAGTAAGGGAGTCCAGAACGAGAGGGCCTAGGTTTAAAATGAGAGGGGAAAGATATAAAAGGGACCTGAGGGGCAACTCCTTCACGCAGAGGGTGATGCTTGTATGGAATGAGCTGCCAGAGGAAGTGGTGGAGGCTGGTACAATTACAACATTTAAAAGGCATCTGGATGGGTACTTGACTGGGAAGGGTTTAGAGGGATATGGGCCAAATGCTGGTAAATAGGGCTAGATTAATTTAGGATATCTGGTTGGCATGGACGAGCTGGACTGAAAGACCTGTTTCTGTGCTGTACATCTCTATGACTCTATGAAAGGACTGACATATGAAGAGAGACTATCAGTTAGGACTATATTCACTAGAGTTTCAAAGAATAAGGGGGAATCTCACAGAAACATATATAAGTCTAACAGTATTAGACAAGGTAAATGCATTAAGAATGTTCGCAATGACTAGGAAGTTCAGAACCAGGAGCCACAGTCTAAGAATATAGGGTAGACTATTTAGGACAGAGCTGAGACGAAATTTCTTCATTCAGAGAATGGTGAGCCTGTGGAATTCTCTGTCACAGAAAGTGATTCAGGCCAGAATGTTGGAATGTTTTTGAGAAGGTGTTGTATACAGTTCTTATGGCTAAAGGGAACAAAGAGTATGGGGAGATTGTGGGAACAGGGTATCAAGTTGGATATTTGGTCATGACAAGGTTGAATAGTGGAGTAGGCCGTTGGAGTTGGCTGACCTAATACTGCTGCTATAATCCTGTTTCTATTTCTCTTACACAACTTCCTTATGAATACTAATTTCCTTCAGATTCTCACTCTAACTAGATAATTTGATCTTTATTATTTCAGGGAGACTTCTAGTGTCACTTATGTGAAGACATACACAGAGTACTTATGTAACTCCTCTGCTATTTCTCCTTTCCTTCATAAATTGTCCAGTTTCCACCTGCAAAAGACAGATATTTATGTTTGCTAATCTTCCCCTGGCACTCGAATAACTCTTGAATGCATGCATTTGTACTGATTTTTTTAGGATTAAGGTTTTAAGAACTGTTTAGCAGTAAATTATTAAATTTTGTGTGTAATAATTAGAAAGCTGGAACCGTATAGTAAGAAAAAGCAGAATATAAAAAAATGAAGCAGGAGTAAGTTATGCAGCTCGTTGAGTCTGCTCTGCCATTTAATAAGGTCTTGGTTGAATTAACAGAATGTTTCTATTATATAATGTATTGTGAGTAAAGTATCAACAGCCTTATGGTGCCTAGCAAGCTAACATTGGTGTCATGTTATGGAGAGAAAAATTTTTCTAATTCTCGAACTTCATTTGTGAACTCCTATAAGATTTCTTTTCAGTTGTTGAATTCCCGTCAGTGCATTGAGAAATTACTGCATTTTACCTCAATATTCAACCTTACTTTTACGTTGTCAATTTATTTGTTCATGGGATATGAAAGTCACTGATAAGGTCCAGCATTTATTGCCCATCGCTAATTGCCCGGAGGGCAAGGTTGTAGACTTGCTTGCCAAGCTGGTGTGTTTGATTGCACACATTTTGTCACCCTGCTGGGTAACATCGTCAGTGCACCACCAGTGAAGTGTTGGTTTCCATCCCGCTTGTTATTTATATGCCTCAGTTTGCTGGGGGTTGGTCTTACTTCTGGCTTTGTTCTTCAGTGGTTTGTATTATTGGGTCCAGTTCAGTGTGTTTGTTGACGGAGTCCTGGTTGGAATGCCAGGCCTGCAGGAATTCCCTGGTATGTCTCTGTTTGGCTTGTGCTACTTTAGATATGTTGTCCCAGTCGAATTTGTGTCCTTCTTTGTACATGTGTATTGAGACCAGTAAGAATTGGCTGTGTCTCTTGGTGGTTCGTTGGTGTTTGTGTATCCTTATTGTCAGTTTTCTTCCAGTTTGGCCTATGTAACGTTTCTCGCAGTCCTTGCATGATATTTTGTATATTACATTAGTTTTGTTGGTTGAGGGTATGGTATCCTTTACGTTCATCAGTAGCTGTCGTAGGGTGGCTATTGTGGGCTACCCTGATACCTAGGAGGTGTCTTCTCAAAATCTTTTCAAAAACTTTGTCCAGAGAGTAGTTAAAAATCAACCACTTTTTGGGGAATTAGTTGCTGAAAGGTTGTTTCCCCCTGTAGGAGAGTCTAGGACCAGAAGGTACAACTTAAGAATAAGGGATCACACGTTTAAGATAGAGATGAGGAGAAATTTCTTTCCTCAGAGGGTAGTGAATCTGTGGAATTCTTTACCGTCAAGGCAGAGGTAGACAGATTTTAAATCAATGAGGGAATTGAGGGTTACGGGGAAAGCAGAGTTTGGAATAATGTGTACAGTTCTGGTCACCCTATTGTAGAAAGGATGTTATTAAATTGGAGAGGGTTCAGAAAAGATTTACAAGAATGTTGCTGGGACTGGAGTATTTGAGTTGTAGGGAGAGGCTGGATAAACTGAGACTTTTTTTCTTTGGAGCATAGGTTGAGGGGTGACCCGCCATGCCTCAATGTTACTTTTGTAAGATTTACCATTAACTTCTTAAAAGAAGATACGTTTCCAAAATTTCCTGTCCTTGATAACCAATTGACAGGGCTATGTCTGTTGTTATTCTAGTGTTTTAATTAATGCCTTGTGATCTGTCCAAATGTGTTCCTTTTATCAGACTTTTTGTCAGTTTAGTACAAATGAGTGGCTTGTTTAGACCATTTCAGAATTGTGGATCTGGAGTCACTTGTAGGCCTAACCAAGTGAGGGTGGTAGATGTTTCTTCCCTGAAAATCATGATGAACTAGAAGGATTTTTATGACAACCATTTTATAACAATGTTATGACATAGTCACTTTTAGACTAGCTTTAATTTCAGATTTTAATTGTATTCACAGTTTATCATCTGCTGTAATGGGATTTAATCCCATATCCCCAGAGTGTTAGCCTGGGTCCCTGAATTATTAATCAACTGACAGTACCTCCACACAACTGCTTATTCTTAATATTCTTATTCTTAAACTGACTGGACTGTAGTAACTAGGAATGTACTGCACCCTTTACAACATATCACATTTGCCACTCTCTGATCCTCTGACAGCTCCTCACCTCTGTATCTGGGGA